ACGACCTGCAGCGGACGAGGAGACCCTGATATTAGAAGAGCCCGTGTCTAGTGCCAAGGAAATGAACATCCGTCTCGGGACCATTGCTGCCTCAAAAGCCGGCCCTGTGCGATGAGACAATACGGAAAGCAATGAAAATGCAGTTGAGACAACCTGGCAGCAAAAAGTGGAAGCGAATCCAACGCGAAATTTGGATCCCCGCTAGGTGTATGCCACCGAGTTTATTTCAGAACCTCTGGATCCATTCAGGCTCTCTTTTCCCTATGAATCCCTGCAGGGCTTTTATCTGTGTCCCTGCAATCTCCGATGGAAGATAAAGAGTGCCCAGAAAATGTGAACGCCAAATGCGATGCAAATAGACAGTGCCGTTCTGGGACAAAATGAGACCAATGGATGAGAAAGGATAAATATTTTGAGCCCCTATTTTCGCCCCAGATCCGAAAAGGCGCTCCCATTCATTCAATTCCTCAAATTATTCAATTCCTCGTTTCTTTTCTACATATATATTCTTTAATATATGCTTTATATATTCTAATATATGCTTTAGGAAAAAAAAAGGACACGCGTGAAAGAGTAGAGGAGCCCATCCGACCCCTGCCAGCATGCAATTACCATTGCTTCAAAGTGTGCTTCTTGCAAAGTTAAAATTCTTGGGTTCTTAATGCGTTCATTACGCAATAAACGAAGACGAGGCCCGCTGGTTCTTAAGGGAGGCCTTTCACTTCCTCGGATCAACACGGAAAGACAACACCGTTCACGATCCTGTGGGCGTTCAGAAGATGCTACCAGCTGAATTACCGAGACCTTAGTGGTTGTACTGGGAAAAAGTGAATTCACAGCTGGAACGTACGCTCCATCGTCTAATAACACGACGTGGATGATATCTTTAAAGAGAATCCCCACGATGGCAAGGATTGCTTCCTGGCTCGATTTTAAAGGACTCAGTCGAAAATGAAAAGCAGCAGTATGCTTAGCAGTCCTTCGAGTGGATTCGGCAATAGTGGAATTATTTTTGGACGAAGTCTAGTGGCGGTTCCCAAATTGCTTTAAAAAAAAAGTTGAACTAGTTCGGAATGGTGTCAGTTATTGTTTCCTCCGATGATCTGAAAAAAGTAAAGTTAATTCTAAAGTTAAAGTTAAAGTTCTAAGTAAAGTTAAAGTTAATTCTACAGCATGCATTTTCGACGAGAAGCTGAAACCGTTTCCCACCCGCGCGATGCTGGAAAGACCCGGAACTCACAACATCCACGACGAAAAAAGGAGGTCTCCTCCCCTCGCATCATCTTCAGCCGAATCGGGATCCATCCGAGTCCCTGTAATCTCCAATCGAATATTAAAGGTGCCCAGAAAATGCGATGCGATGCAAATGGACGACCGTTCCCGTAGAAAATGAGACTATGGAATGGGATAGGAGGAATATTTTAAGCATCTATTTTCGTCCCGGATGCGCGAAGACGCTTCGATTCTTTCAATTCCCCAAACAGGCGGGGATCCTTTTTCGCAAATATATTTGTTTCAGGATCGAAAAGATACAGAACACGCGCGAAGGAGCAGAGGAGCTTTTCCGACCCCTGCCAGCATGCAATTACCATTACTTCAACGGGGGCCTCTTGCAAAGTTAAAAGTCTTGGGTTCATAATGCATCAATCAAGCAATTAACGCAAAGGTGGGACGCTGATTGCTCATAAATCGAGGCTTTTCACTTCCCGGGATTCGAAGAAACATTTGACTGTTTCCTTCGAACTACATCGCAACGAGGCGGACGTATTCATAAATATTTATGGAAGACAAAGGGCCAATTTTTCCATCTCTTTTTGTCCATAAGATCGAATATTACTGAATAGCGACAGCGAGAAAAAAAAAAAAAACAAACAAACTTTGGCGCTTTTTCTTTGACGATGACAGATGTAAATGAGTTATGACCTCGGAAGGAAAAATGTCTCCCTGATGAGACGAAAAACTTAAGCCAAAATAGCAATAAAAAAAAAAGCCTGCAAGGAAGAAGGAATCCAGGATCGAGGACTGTTCCTGCCCAACAGGAATATAAGGGGGTATAAGGTGAAGCTTGTTTTTCCACCAATCCTGTGACATCTTCGTGGATAAGTAGATATCAATCTATCGAAAATACGCGGATGGTCACACCTGCTGTCATTACTCTAGGCAAAATATTATTTTAAAACGATTCATCTGGAATGACCTCATTGGGAATTTTTTTCCTTCCCTCTATATTTGCTATACGATTTCAACAATTAGACGAAGACAAATGTTCTGCGTCTCCATAAGCCTAATCGATCATTGAATAAAAAGGATAAAAAAGGATTCATTGATGGATTATCCAGTGGACCGTGACCCATTTGAATGAGTCTCTTAGGCAAAGATCCAAATGGCGTTCCCGTTCCCTGCACTGGGCTAATCCCCTCGCTCCAAAGGCATCTCTTCCAAATCGATACCTAACGATATGAGATTAATGTGAGAAAAAAAAAACTTGGCCTTTGGTGGCACGCATTCCAAAAGCAATCGGATGGGAGAACATCGACGCAACTCCATACTCTTCGGGTTCCGTCTTTCTTCATCTGATTGGACGTGGTATTGCATTGCATTATAGGGTATTGCATTCATTGTCTCGAGAATAGAATGTCCATTACTTGAAACTTTCAATATATCCACTTCGGTATGGTACTTAGGTAAAAAGTATATAGCAAATGTAAATGGTTGAACATGTCAAGGAACACCAAGTTATCCAAGTGCGATAAGTCGATTATCTACCTCTAATTTAAGGTTTAAGAGACGGAAAGAACGATAGAGAACTAGGAGGAAATGCATGTCAACCGGCTGATTAAAAGAAAAAGCCCAAGGTGAAGGCCAAAAAAATTACCTTCTCAGAGGGCAACACAAAGGATAAATCAGGAATTTTCCGAAGCCACGAGCATGAAACTGAAGGACGAAGGGCCCACAGTGCGCAGGGTGTAAAGTGAAGGAAGTTTCCCCCTCCAACGGACAGGGAGGTTCCTGGATCAGCTGACAGGGCAATGGGGGGGGGGAGTAGGGAATGTGAACGTCCCACAAGACATCACCTCATTTTCGTTCGACGGGTGGTCGGTATCCAGGTGCGATTGTTGCTTTCAATTCGCTCCACCTGCAGCACCGCCGGTCACGATTCTGCGGGCGTTCGGAAGATGCAATCTGCTGAATTAATGAGAACGTCGCAATGTCTGCTCCGCTCGTTCCGATTGTTTCCTCCGCTCATCTGAGAGAAATTTCAAGGTAATTTCACAGTACGCATTTCCGACGAGAAATCAATGCCATTGATCGAAGCTGGAGCGGCCTTCATTTCCCACTTGCGTGACATTGCGTGACACGGACACGAAACGGACACGAAACATGCAACATCCATGACGAAAAAAAAGGTGTCCTCCCCTCGCATCATCTTCAGCCGAATTAGGATCCATTCAGGCTCTCTTTTCCCTATGAATCCCTGCAGGGCTTTTATCTGTGTCCCTGCAATCTCCGATGGAAGATAAAGAGTGCCCAGAAAATGTGAACGCCAAATGCGATGCAAATAGACAGTACCGTTCTGGGACAAAATGAGACCAATGGATGAGAAAGGATAAATATTTTGAGCTCCTATTTTCGCCCCAGATCCGAAAAGGCGCTCCCATCCGTTCAATTTCTCAAATTATTCAATTCCTCGTTTCTTTTCTACAAATATATTCTTTAATATACGTGGTATGCTTTATATATTCTAATATATGCTTTAGGAAAAAAAAGGACACGCGTGAAAGAGTAGAGGAGCCCATCCGACCCCTGCCAGCATGCAATTACCATTGCTTCAAAGTGTGCTTCTTGCAAAGTTAAAATTCTTGGGTTCTTAATGCGTTCATTACGCAATAAACGAAGACGAGGCCCGCTGGTTCTTAAGGGAGGCCTTTCACTTCCTCGGATCAACACGGAAAGACAACACCGTTCCCTTCGAACTACACCGCAACGACGCGGATGGATTCAGAAATATTTACCATTTTGGAAATTGTGTCACTCGTTTTGTCATGAACGTACCAGGAAATACATATAATAATCAGAGTCAACATTGTCTCCCCTTAAATTCGAGTCCAAAAACCCTTTTCCAGCTCGACCAGGACCAATGACAGCGCTTTCACTCCGGTGGTCACTTTCCCTTTTTGGGGCTAACTTTGGCACATCTCGAAAACCGTTAGAGCCTGAGCGCCAAGATTTTAATAATTTCATAATTCTTGGAAACCATCATGCATAATTTTTTTTTCAAGGAAATCGGAGTCGGAAGCGCAATGAAAGTTCCTTGAATTTGACCACTTGAGCTGGAATACCTCTGTATTCAATTTCATTTATAGGTGTGTGAATCTTGTTTTTTTTTTATTTATATATTTCATTCATATATTTCATATTATTAATATAGCACTGCTACAGTTTTCATGCCCTGATTTAGTAACACTCGTCCATTTTTGAGGTCGAAAGAACATCCAATTCTCTCCTTTGGAGGAATATTGTCATGGTGACGACCTAGGGAGTGTGAACCTGAATATCATCTAATTCAAGCTCCAATCAAATCATGCCGCCCTAAATTTGTACGGTTCCTATATAGCATATGACCGTGGGATGGGAGAGGTGGACTTCTCAGCACAAATTCACAACACGGGGTTAAGAGTCAGGAAAGTCTATTTTGAGCTCCGAATGTATGCAATTACCAATGACACCGTCGGAAACATGTGGGATTAACTCAGCGAGCGAGATTTGGCTATGAAACGGCTGCTTTTTTTTAAAGATTTAATGATAACGACAACGGAAGCAGAAATCCGTTGGAGGACAGATATGCATCTAGAGGGGAAGGGGGTGAGGAAGGTGGAGGCGTACAGCTGGAGGCGGTGCTTCCCGAATATAAAAGTCATTGGAATTTCCTTTTATGACATTCATGTCTTGGCTCTCCTACCTACGCTTCCTCTTCGGACCTTCCACGTCTGGTAAGTTGTTCACTCAATCTCGTGGGATTTGATTGTAGTTGTGAAACTAATGGTATTGGAGCCTTGATCATGAAGCATGTCTGTATCCTCCCTTCCCTTACCTAATCGATTAGCTCGTTTGTCCATCCTGCAGCCGGTGTTACGTCCGCAATGGAGGACGAAAGGATTGGGGACATTGTAAGAAGACCCGTGGGAATGCCATCTCTGGACCAGCCCTGCTGGTCCAGAGATGGCATTCCCACGCCTCCTCTCCAGGTTTCCGACACGAAAGACAACCCGCACGCCCACGCTTCCCGCTTTCTCGGCAATCTTCAACTGCTCGTCATTCGTGCAGACTTTGCAGATATTGGCGGATAGGTGCGAGGAAAAGGGAAGATCGGCGAATGGCCCACGGCTCCTCGAGCGAACTGCTCGATGGCGCATCACCACCCATCGACCCTGCTTCGAAAACAAAAAACCAAAATGAAAATCGACAAAATGAAAGCCTCACTCACAGCAAAGTAGAAATATACATTTAATATTCCCCCGAACGTTCCAACTCGAGTCAGAACCCACCGGAACAGTTTCCTTCCCTGTATTCTTCTCACGATACTAGAGAAGTAGTACTTGGTAAGAGTATAATTATGTTTCAATGTCATTTATTCTGGAATATATAATTATTCTATAATTATTCTGGAAAACTAAAAATGTTGGGATTTTCGCACGAAGACATAAATATAAACTAACAGCTTAGTTTTTACTATCGGACGAAGGAGCAGTCGACTTCCGATAAACTTGAAGACAACGGTCTCGACTTGCCTCGTTGTGTATCCATTACTGAAGGCGCCGTTTGAGACGCTGCCGAGCTGTCACAGAAAAGACCCCATCCATACCATCCAAACGGAGAGAGAGTACACAGGGACAACGAACGTACGTAACGAGAAGAAATCCTTTTAATGTATTGAACCGAGAAGTCTCAGACCTTAGGTCCTCTTTCTCTCCAACCTCGACGAAACTCAACAGGGGTATGAAATGGCCTGAAATACCAGAAGCGATGTGACTGTCAAGTACAAATAGCTCAGACAGGCACAGCGGTAGCTGCACCAGAGCACGGACCGCAACTAGCAACAACTAGTTCCACCCAAAACAAAGAATATAAGAAGAGATAAAGAAAAGACGAACTTCCCCAACGACCAAATCGACCAAAGGCGACAGCCACGACTGCATCCCAAGCGGATCCCAACCCCTTTATATACCCAGGCAGCATCGCCTCCAGCTGTACGACTCGACCTCGTTCACCCCGCCTTCCTCTCCTTATCTCCTCCTCCTTTCCCTTTTCTTGGCACTCCGGCGTTCCGCCTTCCCGCGTGATTCTGCGAATCCGCTCCGATCTTCCATCTCCCGCATGCCAGGCATCTCGTGTGGGAATTGACTGAGATTTCACTTGGAATCGGGGCCAAAAAAAAAAAACCCTTTTCGTGTGATTCAAGAGTCCTGCAAGATGATTGCTTTCTTTCAACTCGTGCTCACACTCTTCAGAGTGGGATAGACAGGAAAACAGGACGCAGCGCCCTTTCGATAGGTCCAGAGTGGAAATGTGGTGGGGGGGATCTGAGGCAAGGTTTAATGGAAGAGCTTGAGATTGAGATGATTGCTTCGGTGCAGTCCGTTAACACAGGATCCTGAAAGCCATCGCAACCACTAAGCGGGCCAGAATCCACCTTTAGTACTCCTAAAAACACTTTCTTTTGCAACATTCTTTCATCGTCTATGCAAGCAAGCCTTCTTATGTGGACAAGGCCTCAGAGAAATCATGAAGGAAGCGTACTAACGGTGATTAAATGCATATTTTCTCTGCCCCGGAACAAGATCACGTGATCAACCGTAACGTTACCATCAAATAAGGGTATTTGAGATTACGAAACCAGCGAAGATCTACCAAAATAGACACGTAGGCAGGTAAGTGTGAACGAACTCCAGCCCCGCCTTGAGCACATCAAAAGAATTAAGAGACGGAAAGTAAGCCAGACAACCACGAGGAAAGACATGCCTGGCAGATTAAATAAATAATCCCAAGGGCGAAGGCCAAAAAAATAAAATCACTTTCACGGATGATGACAAAAAGGACTCCAGGATCAGGCGCGACACGAAACTGAAGGACGAAGGGAGAACAGCGAGCAGGGTGAAAAAGGGAAGGAGGTTTTCCCCTCCAATGGACAGGGAAGTTCCAGGATCTGCAGGCAGGGCAATGGAAGCGGGAAGTTCCTTTTCTGTTTGGTTGCAACAGAGCGGTTTTTACGAGGATGGAATGCCACGCCCCGCACTTGCAACGTCCATCATACCTCTATTCTATTTCAATGGGAATGAGAGATACAAGGGTGAGAATTCATGCATTTTCTCCTATTTCTCGCTTACTTTCTACAGGTCCCTCTATGACCCCCCCCCCCCCCAGCCTTTTTATTTTCTTGTTCCAGATGAATTAGGGTTAGGATTGGTGCAGATATAAGTGACAAAATCACCTTTACGCTAGAGGAGCGATCAGTTTTGAGTTTTTGGGTGCATGAGCGCCAAAAAAGTGAGGGGAAAAAAATATGACACACTTGTTTGACGACTTCCGAGCCCGATTTAGCAAGCATCATCGACGAAATGCCTCATCGCACCTGGGGCCGCATCATTCCGTCGTCGGAAAACGATAGCGTTCCCACTGATCACCTTGATCTTTAAATGATACCCAGTTTCTCGAATGTGGGCTATTAAATGTGAAAATGAATGTAGTTTCAAATGGCATTTGTTCAATTTTGCTGCCACTATTCCACAAGAAAAAAAGAGGGGAGGCAAGGAACGTTTGTTAGATGTCGAATCGGGAAAGAATTGTTTCAGGAGAGTTCGGTATCTCCTGCATGGAACGATAATGCTTTTTGGATAGACCTTCATATAAGCCACCGTGCAAGAAATACGATTTCGGGTCAGTTCCCCTCACCTTATTCAACACCACGAACCATGAGATGTTGCGTTACACGAGACAGTAAGACTTTGCCTAGCATAGATCTTCTGAATCCGTTGGGTGTCTTTCTGATGGAGCTCGAAGGTACCAATCGAAGGAATACAATTTATTCGAGCATGGCGAACGGGATGTGAACGGGATGTTTTCCAATTTTAAACTTGCTGGGGAATCCCTTTCGCCTTCGTTGTTGATCCCAGGAAGAGAAATGGCGTAGATTTGTAAGCAACCAGCGTCCTCTCGTGTTATTTGCTTAGTGACTGCAGCAAAAAATATATACATATATATATATATATAAGTGAAAGCCTAGTAGAACCTAGTAGACCAGGCCCTATTTCAAGTTAGTGGAAAGCGTAAGTTGAGAAGGGTCCGAAAGACTCCATGACTACTGACTCGTGTTCTGCTCGTCCGATTTGGTTTCATCTCGTCATTCGTTTTAAGTCTGATGAGCCCAATGTGCACTCCAATGCACAAAATTACTCATTACATTGTCGGAAATTAGTCAGTTTAGATCAGCGAGCGAGAATCGGTTATGAAACGGCCGCCTTTTCTAAAGATTAGAAGATAAAGACGAAGAAAACGGAAGTCCGTTGGAGGACAGATATGCATCTAGTGCGGAAGGGGTTGAGGAAGGGGGTGAGGAAGGTGGAGGCGTACAGCTGGAGGCGGTGCTTCCCGAATATAAAAAGCCATTGGGATTGGCCTTACACCATTCAGTCTTGGCTCTCCTACCAACAATTCGCCTGCTGATCTTCTACGTCTGGTAAGTCCCTTTACTCCATCTTGTCGCATTTGAATTGTTATTGTGATACTAATAATGTTGTGTTGTTGCCTTGATAATGAAACAAATATGTTTTCTACATGCACTTACCTAATCAGTTTTGTCGTTTGCCTTGCAGCCAGCGATTCTTCCACAGAGGAGGCTCAAACGGATGTGGACAAGAAGCCCTGGAGACGCCGGTAGAGTCTCCTGATCAACGCCATCGTTGGATAAATTTGATCCTGCAACGCCTGCTTGGAAACGATGGAGATAATATTCATACATTCTTCTCCATTCATGCACACTTTCATTCAATCTCGACCTAATGAATGGGGAATGTTATTTTCCAATAGCCTACCTGCCCGTTCCTCATTTGCGCTTTCCAACATTTTGAACTTTCCTTTCAACATATACTTGGACACGTACACCGCGTTAAGTTGTCCAAACTCCGCTTTTCGGGGTGTAGCATCCATTGCATCGAGAGTAGAATGTCCATTTTCTGTTTCTACATTATACAAGTAATACATGTGTAGGGAAAACTGTTACTTATCCCTAATTTAAGATTTAAGATATGAAAGAACGATAAAGAACTAGGCGGAGATGCATGTCTATCGGCATAGTAAAACTTCATTCAAACTTCAAACATTCAGCTTTCTCGAACAACGGCACAAAGATCTGAAACGTTCCATGGCCACAAAGTAGACAACCCTTATGACGAAGGAAGCATAGTGGACAGGGTGAAGAAGGAAGTTAGTTCCTCACACAGACAGATCAGCACACTGGGCAATGGGGGCGAGACGGGAATGTGAACGTCACCAAAGGCATCTCCTTCGTTTCGTCCTATCGGTGATCTGGGAGTGATCGCTTTCAACTCGCCCCACCTGAAAACACCACACGGCATGATTCTATGGACGATTAGAAGATGCAAGCTGCTGCCCCATGATGGCATGGATTGCTTCCTGGCTCGATCTCGAACACGTCAGTCAAAAATAGAGAGCACTAGGCAAGTATGCTTAGCAGGCCTTGAACTTGATTTGGTGATGGTGTAATTATTAATTGTACGAAACTTACTGAAATAGTTCCCAAACAGCTCGGAAAAAAAAATTGTTGGACAAGTTCCTACTGGCATCAGGTAACACTCTATTACACATTTAATATTACTAAATAAAACACGAAAATGGCATATTCTCGATTCATCAAGCAGGAAATAAAACATGAAAACACGAGAAAGGGATTATGAAGGTGGAACTATGTACTGCGACATTTGTGGTGGTTACCAAACCTAACCACCGAGTAAAATTTCGTCAAAGCCAAGACCACCACCACCAACAGCCATGCAATACTAATAATATACCAAACCAACTTGATTCTGAGCCCATATATATGGAAGGGACAGCCTCCTCTACGGATGGGATGAGCAAGGGTGAATGGCCTGGCTGAATTCATCAATGAATTCATCAGTGAATTCATCAGTGAATTCAGCCGGGGGAAGCCAGGCAGTGAACCCAATGTCCCCCTTCCACCGCATGGAAGGAACGAACGACGTTATTCCGAATCGACTCGCTTCGTTGAGCTGTCCATAACAAAATGTTGGAACTAGTTTTCGGTGTGGCATGAATAAAAGGAAATTTTTGGCTTGCATGCACATAAGATTTTTCAATTGTTGGATCTCCCCGTCCGTCTACGGCAAAGAGATATTGGCACCGATTTCACCACGATGGCCAGCATCGTGACTTAAGAAGATGATTCTCTCACGCGCCGGTATGTACCTTAACTTTCTGTTAGGATGCTGAAGTTTGTTCGCTATATGGCTTTTTCCCTTTTTCACCCTTGGGAGCCATGCACGGATTGTTCTCGCGATTACCCGTTTTTTCATATTCCATCGTTGCTAACAGGAGACAGTGCCAAGGAAATGAACATCCGTCTCGGGACCATTGCTGCCTCAAAAGCCGGCCCTGTGTCGATGAGACAATACGGAAAGCAATGAAAATGCAGTTGAGACAACCTGGCAGCAAAAAGTGGAAGCGAATCCAACGCGAAATTTGGATCCCCGCTAGGTGTATGCCACCGAGTTTATTTCAGAACCTCACCAGAAGGACCTTCTCTTCATCGACGAAACTGGAATTTGAACCTCTGGCTTTCGAGGAAAATTGTATGGCCTCCGATCGGTGAAAGATGCGTCGACCAATCCGATAGAAGGGCCAGAACACGACTCTTAATTGCTGTGATTTCTCCCACTGATACATTCCTGATATATTCGAAAAAGCTGTATAGAGGACTCACCAGAGAAATCTTTGAACACTTTCTCGATGGAACGAGTGCCACGACAGGGCCAGAGAACGAAGCTGTCTTTATCATGGACTAATGTATGGCTCACTGAAGATTAATTCCCCGACGCCCATCCCATACCATCGAATTCGCTTTCTCTCCATTCAAAGCAGAGGTCAAGAGAGAGCTGGGTTCTCTGTTAGATTGTAGATAGAGACCGAGCTGCTGCTCGAGGCGAGTCTCTGGCACAATATCGCATAAATATTCTCGAGAAAATTGTGGATGATGCAATTGAGACAGTTGACGCAATTGAGACAGTTGACGCAATTGAGACAGTTGACGCAATTGAGACAGTTGACTCAATTGAGACAGTTGACGCAATTGAGACAATTGACGCAATTGACCATTCATTTATGCCGCAGAGCATCTCAGCATTCCTTTCATTACATTAGCAGGTCATTGGAGAGAGAAGTCATTTCTGAATGAAGTGGTCTATGCTGAGGAAGGTAAAGTGACCTTTTCTTCAAAGGTTTTTTCCATTCTTCCTTCCGAAGTGAGCCGCCTTCATCGATGGAAGCTCGAGCCGCCTTCATTTCCGCGAGGTCAAAGGTCTAATGGAAATGCAGGAGATAGCGAAGATTGCTTCGCCGCAGCCCGTCACCCCCGGATCCCGAAAGCCATCAAATTATTTTTGAAACCCCAGGAAGGAGAGAGGAGCGTTAAAAAGTGCATCAAAATGGAGTGAGCGCTCCCATTTCATCGCGCTGTCCCCTCATCGCAGACAGGACTAGTCATTAATTTAAAAATCCACCGTGTTCGACGTCCCGAGTGAGACCAAGACGACGAACTTCAGCGGGGAATTGGTTTCCCTTCGACTTGGCGCCAAACACGTGCCGAGAGGAAGTTGAAAATTGTTTCTAGAATTGTTTCTAGCATCCATTTGCTGCGTTGCAGATTCGCAGTGAAACAGCCACATAATCTCGATCGATAAAATTTACCATGTCTACACCAGAAATGTTTTCCGTGCAATTTTTTTCCGCAAGTTGACTTGCAATAAGCCCAAGGGCGAAGGAAAAAAATTCTCAGGGAGGACGACACGAAGGATCAGGCCCGACGAGCACGAAATTGAAGGACGAAGGGAGGAAAGTGGCGTCCCACATTGCCGTTACCCCCGTTAACGTCCCGTTAACGTCCCGTTACCCCTCCCTCCTCAAGCAGCACCGTTGTCTCGCCAAAAATTCTACACTCTTCACTGGCTTGGGGAAAGTGCGAATCTCAGCGTTTGATAATTATAATGAAACAAATCCGTTTCCTTCATTCACTTACCCGATCGGTTCGTTTTGTCCCTCGCCCTGCAGCCAGCGCTCCTTCCGCCACGGAGGTTCAAACTGAAGTGGACTCCAGCCTTCGAGAAGCCCGTGGAGTCTCGGGACCAACGCCATCTCTGGGCAACCCTGTTGCGGATAACGCCTACTTGGAAACGAGGTCATTAATCAATTATTATTCATACATGAACACAGTCTTTCAAGTTTGTCCAAATGCATGGGGAATATGCTTGTCCAATTACCCACGTACCCATTCCTCTTTTTCACACTTCAGCATCTTCAACTTTCTCGTTTATCAACATCTGATTGGACAAATACCACGCGTAATCCAGTTGACGCAACTTCTTTGAGGGTTCTGCATTCTTGTCTCGAGAGTAAAATGTGGTTGATTAGAAAGTTTCAATTTCTAGTTATTTATGGTACTACGGTATATTGCAAATGTAAATGGTTTAACATGTCAAGGAAACACTAAATTATTCATGTGTAAAAAAAAATTACTCGTCCCTAAGGATAAAGAAACGGAAAGAACGATAGAAAACCAGGAGGAAATGCATATTTGCCAGTAAAGTGAAAAAAAAAAAAAAAAAAAAAAAAAAAAAAAAAAAAAANAAAAAAAAAAAAGAAAAAAAAAAAGAAAAAAGAAAAAAAAAAAAAAAAAAAAAAAAAAAAAAAAAAGGAAGCACAAGGTGAGCACAGGGTGTAAAGTGAAAGGAATGTGGACGTCACCAAGGGCATCATCTCAATTTCTTCCGATCGGTGGTCGGTATCCGGGCATGATTAATGCTTTCAACTCGCTCCACCCGAAGCGTCGCCCGTCACGATCCTGTGGGCGTTCAGAAGATGCTACCAGCTGAATTACCGAGACCTTAGTGGTTGTACTGGGAAAAAGTGAATTCACAGCTGGAACGTACGCTCCATCGTCTAATAACACGACGTGGATGATGGCTGTATCTTTAACGAGAATCCCCACGATGGCAAGGATTGCTTCCTGGCTCGATTTTAAAGGACTTAAAAAAAAAAAAGTTGAACCAGTTCGGAATGGTGTCAGTTATTGGTTCCTCTGATGACCTGAAAAAAGGGTTAAAAGTTAATTCTACAGCATGCATTTTCGACGAGAAGCTGAAACCGTTTCCCACCCGCGCGATGCTAGAAAGTATTAAAGGTGCTCAGAAAATGCGATGCGATGCAAATGGACGACCGTTCCCGTAGAAAATGAGACTATGGAATGGGATAGGAGGAATATTTTAAGCATCTATTTTCGTCCCGGATGCGAGATTTTTTTTCGTAGGTAGGTTGGCCAACCGCGCTTCCCTGATTGGCAAATAGCCCGGCAGGCAGGGAACCAATCATCTCTCCCCCCTCTCGCCCTGCCTCTCGCCCCCTTGCGGCTCTCGCACCCCACACGTCCAGAGGCCATTCTGAGAAAAACCGCGGCGCTGAACGCGTTCATGAACGCGGAAAAGATCTACAAGTCGCCGAACTCGTTCGTTCATCAATCACGGAATAAACATACAATCGGTGTAGTGTTACACGTGCTACATTAAATAGGCCGCGAAATAGCTCCGCGATTGGCCTAACGTTTCACCTTAACAAGGCGTCTTCATGACCAGGGATTCATCGTTATTGGCTTGATTGGCTTGCAGGTCCAGCATTAAGTTTCTTTTGAACTAAAAAAAGGGCGGTCTAAGCCTGACCCGAAGACAGTCTGTCGGTTGAGACTAGGCTAGTGAGTTCCATAGAGAAGGGGAGGGCGAGGTTGAGGCTTAGGAAAGGGAAAGCCTACCTTTGATAATTGGTTTTTCATTACTACGCATCGAAATGGGTATCCAAATCTTCTCCTGAATATCACCATCCTACATTTAACTTGGAACCTTCTCTATTTAAGATTTTTATATGTAGGTATTGTTTCAATTTTTAATTTGGAAAAGTTACAGCGTTTTTCCCTCCAAGTTTTAGAATGCATGTAATTACTGTAAAATATTGTCACNTATTTTTGAAACCCCAGGAAGGAGAGAGGAGCGTTAAAAAGTGCATCAAAATGGAGTGAGCGCTCCCATTTCATCGCGCTGTCCCCTCATCGCAGACAGGACTAGTCATTAATTTAAAAATCCACCGTGTTCGACGTCCCGAGTGAGACCAAGACGACGAACTTCAGCGGGGAATTGGTTTCCCTTCGACTTGGCGCCAAACACGTGCCGAGAGGAAGTTGAAAATTGTTTCTAGAATTGTTTCTAGCATCCATTTGCTGCGTTGCAGATTCGCAGTGAAACAGCCACATAATCTCGATCGATAAAATTTACCATGTCTACACCAGAAATGTTTTCCGTGCAATTTTTTTCCGCAAGTTGACTTGCAATAAGCCCAAGGGCGAAGGAAAAAAATTCTCAGGGAGGACGACACGAAGGATCAGGCCCGACGAGCACGAAATTGAAGGACGAAGGGAGAAAAGTGGGCAGGGTGTAACGGCAATGGGGGCAATTGCAGGGCAATTGCAGGGCAATGGGGAGGGAGGAGTTCGTCGTGGCAACAGAGCGGTTTTTAAGATGTGAGAAGTGACCGAACCCCTTTCACGCTTAGAGCGTTTGATAATTATAATGAAACAAATCCGTTTTCTTCATTCACTTACCCGATCGGTTCGTTTTGTCCTTCGCCCTGCAGCCAGCGCTCCTTCCGCCACGGAGGTTCAAACTGAAGTGGACTCCAGCCTTCGAGAAGCCCGTGGAGTCTCGGGACCAACGCCATCTCTGGGCAACCCTGTTGCGGATAACGCCTATTTGGAAACGAGGTAATTAATCAATTATTATTCATACATGAACACAGTCTTTCAAGTTTGTCCAAATGCATGGGGAATATGCTTGTCCAATTACCCACGTACCCATTCCTCTTTTTCACACTTCAGCATCTTGAACTTTCTCGTTTATCAACATCTGATTGGACAAATACCACGCGTAATCAAGTTGACGCAACTTCTTTGAGGGTTCTGCATTCTTGTCTCGAGAGTAAAATGTGGTTGATTAGAAAGTTTCAATTTCTACTTATTTATGGTACTACGGTATATTGCAAATGTAAATGGTTCAACATGTCAAGGAAACACCAAATTATACATGTGTAAAAAAAAAATTACTCGTCCCTAAGGATAAAGAAACGGAAAGAACGATAGAAAACCAGGAGGAAATGCATATTTGCCAATCAGGGAAGCGCGGTTGGCCAACCTACCTAAAAAAAAAAATCTCGCATCC